TTTCACCCCCCTAGTGACCAGATAGTTTTTCTCCATGACAATCGACCCCTAATCTTGTCTTTCAGGTCTTCTAACAATGTTCTCATTGCCATTGTAAGTGAATCCATCCACTTTGCCCTTAGTTGTCCATTTCAGATATACCGGCCAGATTTTCTATTTGTTTTCCCCCAAACTCCTTTTGTAATAACCATACACAACTTCAAATGATTACTGGAGGGCAGAAAAGAGCTTTGATTTCAGTGTAGCCCAAATCTCTGTAGTAGCAATCAGGCTCAACAGAAATATAAAAGTACACATGTTGTTTGCTCGCATTTTGCCTTTAAATTCCTCATCATTTTCAAAGGTAAGTTTGGAGGAGTAAGGACCTTCACATGTAACATAGTGCCATATCCCGTTAAGTATCAGATATATGGCATTATAAGGATTGAGCACAAATGCATACATTGAAAATCTAAATCCATAAACCAGTTTAGAGAAAAATGCTATAGAACAGTGTTTCTCAACCTTGACAATTTTAAGGCATGTGGACTTCAATTCCTAGAATTCCACAGCCAGCAAAGCTGGCTGTGGAATTCTGGGAGTTGAAGTCCACATGCCTTAAAATTGTCAAGGTTGAGAAACACTGCTGTAGAATATTGTGTATATCTGAAAACAGAATATCCCAGAAAAGTTTTTAACGAAACACCAACAGTTCAAAAACCTAATCACTGACGTGTATTCTCACAATTTATTTTATAATGGTGGCTTGTACTTTTGACAAGTTTTATGGTTTTATTTATCAGTTATAGTGCATCTACATTATTCTTACTGTTATACAAAGATTTAAAAGTGAAGGCATTCCTACTGGCCTGTTCAACATAGGAGAATCAATAAGAAATGGAAGCAAAATTGGGAGGGAAAATGAAAGGAAGCAAATACAGATACCAATTTTTGATGTTACATAATCTTTGCAATTTGAGAGATCTTTGGTGGTCTCTGAGTTTGGTTCTTTTCTTGCAAACATTTCATTACCCAAACTAGGTAATGAAACATCTGCAAGAAAATAACCAAGCTCAGAGAGCGCCAAAGATCCCTCATTTCAACCTTGAGCTACAAATATTCACTTCTCTTGGCATCTTATTAGATCTGTACATGTGGTCCTCCCTGTCTCCAGCTATACGTGCATAGGTAATTCGCTGCTGGCTGATATCAGCATATCCTCTATCCAGTTCTGCAGCCCTGAGACACAAGATGTTTATTCCTCTTTGTATAGCCATATGCGGTAGTCACTGCACAAACCTCTAAAAAAAACCCTGAAGATCACTTTGTACAGATTAACTGACTAGGGCTAGGCAATAACTGTGAGCAACTTTATGTGCAGGACACTCCCACAGAGACTCTTCTCCATTACAGTTCATTCCTATTCTTACTATTAAACAACTGACTGCAGATTTGCTAAAAGAGACACTTGTTTAGGCTATTTCACAGTTAACATACCCAGCCCACCTCATTGCAGAAGCAACAATAACTGATTGTCATTGGATGGTCCTGTCAACAGACTTACCTTTGTTCAATTTGACTTTTAGGAAAATAAGGCTTGCTTTCTGATTATTTCCACATTCTATTGCAGACTAACTATTATTTGCTGGCCAAATTCTTTTCTTTTAACCATGCTAATTTGATAATTTGCTTGGAGGAAATAGAAATACTTATCTGTGTTTCTAAGATTTATTTTTAATATATAGTCTTTCTTCATTATTATGGTCAAGCGAAAACATTCTCAAAAGACCTGTATTTTCATTTTCACCAGTTAAACACTCCCTCCATAATCAGAATTTTATTTCAGTATCTAGTCTTTTTTAGAACATTAGACTTCAAATTATACTCTTTATATTCAGCTATTTTCTTCTTTTTTTAGTGGATGAAAAGTTTTAATCATATATATAGTTAATGCACAATGAGTAATATAGTACAGGGCTTTTCAACCAGTGGTATGGGTACTACTTGTGGTACATTGGCACCGGGCAGGTGGTATGCGGCCATCCTAGAAAAGTAGCGGGGAGGGGAATGAGCTGAACCCCTCACAAGCCTGAGCGAGAGATGGCTGGAGCTGCAGGGCTCTCAGGGCTCAGCGGAAGCGCCACGATCAATCCCACTTTCCAGCTGATCAGCACTTCTTCGGGGTGGTCAGGGCTCAGCAGAAGTACCAGGATCAGTGCCAGGCTCCAGTTGGAGCTCGGCGCTGATCCTGGTGCTTCTGCTGAGCCCAGAAGAAATGCCAATCAGCTGGAATGTTGCAGCAGCTCCAGGGTCTTGTAATTTACATTCAGATGCTTGGCAATTGATTCATATTTATGACGGTCACAGTGTCCCAGGGTCATGTGAAGTGACCAAAACCAGCTGCAACCACCCAGCAGATGGGGGGAATAAAAACCCAACACCCCCACCCCACTCCCACTGCCAATCCTCAGCAGAAATGCTCACAACAATGAAAAGCTCAGACAGGAGGAAGAGCACTGCAGGCAGGTGTCTTGCTCAGCTATGCCTTGGGGGTGTGAGGAATAAAATTTTAGAATAAAAAGTGAAGTTAAGTGACACGTACTCTGTAAAATTTCTACACGTAGACTGTAAGATTTCTACACAAACATTTCTACATGTAGACTGTAAGATTTCTACACAATTTCTACATGTACATGTACTTTGTAAGATTTCTACATGTAGGCTATAGGATTTCCACACTAAACTGTAGGATTTCATGATAAAATACATATAAGGGAATAGGTGAAGCAAAATAATAAGGGGCAGGGATAATGTATTTTGTTTAGGCCAGTGGTTCTCAACCTGTGGGTCGGGACCCCATTTGGGGTCGAACGACCATTTCACGGGGGTCGCCAAACAAGGCTGTCCGCCATTTTTCCCCTTTTCTTTGGCCACGCCCCTGGCACCCGGTGATGTATAAGTGGTTGGGGGTCATCACAACATGGGGAACTATATTATGGGGTCGCGGCATTAGAAAGGTTGAGAACCACTGGTTTAGGCAATCCTGATAAGATTGTAACCTCTAAATCTCAGCCAATGAAGCCACAGAGGAAGGGCTTTGCTGTGACTAGGTGTGGCTCAAATATTGATTTGGAGTCCACCACGCTTTGCAAACCATTGTATCCAATAAATCTCTGTTTAATTTCAACTTGCTGTTTGGTGTTATTCAGTGGGCTAGAATTTCTGCCAACAGGGGGGCACATTTTTCAGTGCTATTGTAACTTCGAACAGTCACTAAGGGAACTATTGTAAGTCAAGGACTACCTGTACTTTATCACTTTTTTCCTTTTTTGTGGGGGGGTCATCAAGTTTTTAACACCTTGCTAGGTGACTGGTGGTACTCAGATATTGCATATCCTAAAAGTGGTGCAATGGGTGAAAAGGTTGAAAAGCCCTGATATAGTAGATATCAAATGGAACAGACTGTCATATATTCTTTAGAATAGCCAATTTTGGTCACAGAAATGCCTTCTTTCATCAGATAGTTTTAATAAAGCAGTATTGTGGATAAGCAAGAATCCAAAGTTCTTACTGCCAATACTTCACAAAAACAAATGGTGTAAAAGGAACAAATGGGATAAATTCCACCAAGATTCACTGTCTATTCCAAGTCAGATCCAATAATTATCTTTACTAAATAAGCAGAAGTTAGTTGGCAGAAAGAGGGTTATAGGCATTAAGTTATTTTGGTTTTCAAGCAGGTTTTAGGAATAGAAATGCTGGAGAACTCTTTAGATCTATCTGCAATGATAGTTTAATTTTTTTTTAATTTACAGTCTGTTATGAGCTAATAGGATGTTGTGACAATTCAAATTGCTACAAAAGTTTCTAAAGCTTTAACTTCAGATATTGTACTTATCTTATTGTGGACCAGAAACAAGCAGACCAGCACCTGGCAACCCACCACATTTTAACTAGCAATGTTTTTTTTAGACAGAATTAAGAGATGTGTAATTCTTTAATTGTAAAAAAATGGTTTGAGAGCCATGCAGTTTTCAGTTCACTGCATTTTGTTCCAAGGTACTGTAAATATGTACATTACTGCAAATTAGATAGTTTAGTCCTCATTAGATTGAAGAAAGTAAAACATAGTATGTTTTACAACATGCCACCATTAAGGAATAAAATCTATTAAACTCACACAGTCTACCTCTCAACAATTCTGGGTGGTGCACAATAATCAGTGCAATTAGAATTAAAAAAACAAAGCTAAAAGATGGCAAGCAAAATGAAATAAGGGGTGAAGTTCAGATCACTATAAACTAATAAAGATGGAATATAAATGTTTTTGTGTGCTGTATCTTATATAATCAGATCAATCCATGAAATCTATTTAGATAGAACCATCAAAACTGATTGATGTTTATCTCACCAAAGAAACTGGTGCTAAAAATACAGTATTTTGAAAGAAGCCCATTTGTAGCTTGCTCCTCCACCTGCAGTCTGCCAATACAGGTAATCCTTGACTTACCACCATTCGTTTAGTGACCGTTCGAAGTTATGACACTGAAAAAAATGACAATTACAATCACTGCAGCATTTCCATGGTCATGTGATCAAAATCCAGATGCTTGGCAACTGGTTTATATTTAGGATGTTCCCAGTGTCCAGGGGTCATGTGATTACCTTTTGCAATCTTCTGACAAGCAAAGTCAATGGGGAAGCCAGATTTATTTAACATGGCAAGAAAGATTGTGAAATGGGGCAAAATTCACTTAACAAATGTCTTGCTTAGCAATATAAATTTTGGAGTCAAGTCGAGGGTTACCTGTACTAGTCTACCTCTGCATGGGAGTTGTCAAGCATCTTAACTCTTACAATGGATCCTGTTTGTCCTTTCATTTGAGTTGACTGCTTGTTTTCATTGAAGACAGACTGAAGATTAAGAACAGCTGTTTCTTGTGGAAATGACACCTTTCATAAAAGTAGCACAGAATTCATTGAACAAAACCAGTCCTTAATAATCAGTCAACATGCCTATGGAAAATTTTTACATAAAAGTTTATTTCAATTTAATTACAGGTATAAATAACCTTTATGATAGAGAAAATGTCAGTTGAAATGTATGAGATCTCATGACCTTTCAGCTTCCATGCTATACTTGCACAATGTGTTTTGAGGTTAAAAATGGTCTTTGGCCCACTATTGCCGAGCATCTCTTGTGACACTCACCAAGCTGCCATCCTTCTCAGTTTAAATGGGTGTGTTGGAACAACAATGCAAGCATATGTCAGAAAGTACAAACTTTGTTAGCTCTATTTCAGCAATTGAAACCGTATTTCAGCTTTTTAAAAACTCACAGAGGTCCCTCTTTCTCAACAAAACCATTATTGCTTATTTTTTCATTTATTGCTTATTTTTTCAAGTATCTGCATTTATGCCATTCAAACTCAAAAGTGGTATTCCAAAACAGAGTGAATATGGCACCAATAAAAGGAATGCAAAAGTTCAAAAGTAATCTGAGAGTAACACATTTGCCAGTGCATTAATTTTTCTTTCAACATCAGCATCACTACTATGTAAAGATTTTGTGTACCTCATGGAGATAATGGCTTACTCTTTACCTGTGATCAGACTCTGCAATTTAATATAATTTAAAAAAATTACAAAATATGTAACAATAACACTAACCACAGTAAGTTTTTTTAGTATTACAGGGTTTTTTTTAGTTAAGAATCATATTTATGAGTATTGTTTAAAATGCATGTTCATATATCGTGAAGGCCTTTGGCACAAGTGCATAAGCAAAGATAAAGGAGAATTAGCATAGACAAAAATATGTGAATACGTGAATAAGTTCCTGTTAGCATTGTGTTTGGTACGTGCTAAAATTGTGATCAATAAAAATTGTTATTGTTAAGTAAAGTAATTAAATATCTGACCACTTATGGGCCTTCACCTTTCTCAGCCAGGTCACAGTTGAGTGAATCATTTAACTGAAGAAATTCCCCTTCAACTGTATTTGTTACAAATTTCTAGTCATTAGAGTCTTGATAAATGGAGGGAGGGAGGGATGGAGAGAGGGAGAGACTTTGCTTTATATCTATGCTACTTCTGCAGGATATGTGCACAAAGGCTCAAAGAACCCTTTCAAAGATCATTTATGCATGAATTCAGAAAACCAGGACACTTAAGTGGGTGATAAAAGTTGTAAATGTTAAAATGTCATGAACAGGGAATGTGTGTGTGGGAAGGAGAGGGAGAGAAGCTTTAAAGGGATGTTCCAGTTGTGCTGAATGTGGATTGAAAGTGACCTGCAGCTACATCAAGCAGGTCTACCTATATCATACCAATGAACTGAACTTAAATCATTAAAAGAAACAGATAATTTTCCAAAGAGGGGGGAAAGCCCTCATCTTTTTAAAAAATCTGCCTTATTTTCCTCCTTTTAATTATCAGTCTCTCTTTCTGCCAGCTATTGATGATGTCATGAGTCATCAAGGAACAGATATTTTTAATGAAAAAAATAATGAAACAAAGACCAAAAAATATTTCTGTTCTTTACGGCAAGTTTGATGAATGGCTTATCAAAATAATATTTTGTAGGTTTTTGTTTTGTGGAGATGACAACCTTTTTGGAACTATAAACTAAAGTTTTAGGGTTTTTTTTAAAAAAAGTATGCTAATTGGTGCAATTGTATATCAAGCAAATAATAGAGTAGCATTTGAAATGGCTATATATTAACATAGCTAAAAATAATTCACTGTTAAAGTATTAAATTTTTGTTAAAGGAGAATTGGAGATGATTTGGTGATTGGCCATAGTATTCCTACAGAGTGAAGCCTGGATTTTCACCTTTGGCTAAAATACCCTAACTTTGTGCCTGCAAGTCTGTTCAACTACACCTCCTGAAATTCTCAGCTCATATAACCATGCTGATTTAGAAGCACAGGCTGTAGTCCTAACCCATCTGAAGAAACTCAGGGTGAGGAAAATGGATAGTCATTCTTCAATCCCTATCAGAATACATAAGGATTCTTCACGAGTTGATCAAATTCTTCATTTCCATCTATGCCTTACTAAGGATGATTCATCGTTTATGGTGTCGCCGTCAGCATAATGATGACGACAACGCGGTGGAATAAGGAGCAAGATGATGAGTATGAGAAGTACAAGTCCACAGAAACTCATAAGTGTGTAAGACACAATCCACAAGATTGGTTCGTGGAGAGATATAGTTGATATGCAAGTGGCTGCTACATCTGTGGTAGTGAAAGGGCCTTCAATCTCAGATACTGGAGAACCATGCAATTCTATATAAAAAAAATTAAAAGAAAGATAAATACCGACAGAGGAAACAAAAAGCATATATATGTTAAAAATTATAAGCCTGTAAGGGTTTAGAATTAAATGCTAGTATACTCTCTGTTAAATTCAAGCTGAGGAAAATATGCACGTTACAAAAGAAACCTCATATTTACATTCAGGACATTTCATAGGAAAATGAGTTTAATTCAAAACTATAGATTTTTATTTCACAATATTAAAAGATTTTGTTGTAACAATTATTTCCTATGATCTGTGAAATCAAAGAAATCATTTCAATTCTGTGAAACCTTTTTCTGCCTAATGATTAAAGTGAAATTGGAAGATAATCTAGACATTTAGAAACAATTTATTTACTACTGCAAATGAGCCTTAAGATCACCATTTTTAAGGTAAATTTTGCCTTTTCATTTACCTTAATATTTTAGTAGCAAAGCTACCGATTCACATTTTTCTTCCTGAGACAGTTCAAGCATAAGATCACCAAAAAAAGTCAACGTTCCATTGCTTATGTGTGTGTGCCTTTATGTGCGTGCACATATGTGATTAAGTATAGACAAAAAAAAAATAAAAATCAATTTAGTATCTAAATAACTGTTCTTGAAACACAATGGATTCTTTTTTTCTTTTGATGAACATACACAGAGCATCTTGCATGCATGAGCTGTTCTTGCCGGTTTCATCAGTTTCAATAGCAAAACATTTAATAATCCACTGAAAATGAAGACACAGATCCAAAGTTTCTCTAAGTGTATGAAAGAAACCTCAATCCATCCTATGAAATTCACAAGAAGCCTTCAGAAAGCATAATTGCTCTGCTTCACCTATTGAGCAAAATTATTTGGGAGATTAAAAATCGCAAAAACACATAGAAAAGTAGGGTCTCTGATACAGAGTATCTAGGACACTTCTATTTGTGACCCTCAGGTTTGAATTTATAACCCTTCGGCATTTTCTCTATTTATAAAAATATGTTTGAACTTTAACATAAACCCTAAAAGTATTCATAAAGAAAGACGTTGATAATTGCAGGCCATTGTTTGAAAATAAGCCAACTTAGGTGACAAAAAGATAAAATGTAAAATGAAGTGTTAGGAGGGTCAGGAAATGGATATTCTTTTAACTGGCCAAACCTATCAGCTATTTTGTGAATTGAGAAGCCATCCTCCCATCAGGGTAGCCAATTCCAAATTGAGATTCCTGCTCTAAGCATGCATGTGTCCGCGCGTGCATGCACACACACATGTTTGTGTTTGCATATTTCAATTGTCAGCTTGTAAATGCTTTTTAAGTACACATTTACTTTAAAAGCACTTATAAGCTTATAAGCAAAGTAAGATACTAATTTGAAAGTTTTTTTTCTTTTTTAGAACCCCTCACTTACCAGCACAAGTACTTAATGCAAATCCCACTCTCTTTTGGGCTCTATCAAAGATGACATTGAATCCTTCCATCACTGTAGCCCCAATAACCAAGGCACTGGAGGAAGAGGAAATACCAAACCGATAGCAGGCTAGATTTTGCCCAATCCCTAGAATTGGCTGAATGTAAAGCTGTTTTTTGGAAAGACATAAAAGATGATTTAAAAAGCAAAAATATACCTCAATGAACATCCAAATGATTTTTTTTAAGTGTAAAATAAATACAAGGCTTTAAAAGCAAGAGCAATCGCCATATATCAGTTAAAAGTGGTCAGCTTATATTTCACACAGATATTTAAATACCTTCTGACTGGTATAATTTACCCAGATTCACTTTATTTTTTCATATTTTATTGGGCTTTTTTTAACATAAACACCTTAATATTTGGTAAACAGCATATTGTCTGGGCATACATTTACAAAGTAGTCACTAATAGTCAGTTTTTATTATTCCAAAGTCCAGATAGTAGCTTTACTTGATTTTCTCTTCTTCAAATAATCTTTTTACTAACCTTAAATCAATACAATTCTTATTAATTTAATAGGTAACAATTTAAATATAAAGGTTTTTCTAAAATTTACCAATAATAATCATATCAATGTTATGCTTCTTTTCTATCTAGTCATCTTGGTTGCCTCATCATAAATCCTGTTTGCAGTTCTTATTTAAATTTGTTTCCCCTACAATGTTCAAAACATTTTTACTGGTTAACATTTTCTCAAAGTTAATTACATTTAAGTATTTAAATCTATATTCATGTCTTAAAAAGTAAGTAAAAAAAGAGACAAAAGAAAAATAACAAAAGAAAAAAGAAAAGAGAGAAGAAAGAAATAAGGAGAAAAGAATAAGAAATATAATATACTACTTAAAATACATCTCTCTTAAACTAAACTAAGTTTATTCCCAATTTTTTTTCTTCTGTTCTTTTTATCCATAATTAAACCTACGTTGAGTCTTTAGATGTTCCATTTAATAAATCTAATCATCAAATCTTTTAAGTCTATTTCAAAACATTTTTAGTTATCTATTAGAATTTTCTTAAGAGCAATTACATTTAGATAACTAAAACATTTCCTTTATAATAACCATCCCAAACATGTTTATATTTTTCATATTTGAAAGCAAACTAAAAGAAAAAGACAAATAATACTGTCTTGCTTAGGAAGTTCATCCCTCTTACATTATAATCTTTCTATTTCTTCAACCGTATTCGAACAAGTGTTTAATTTTTAAATATTCCCTCTGATGCGCCCCATCATGTAATTTAGCCCTCTCCTTTTGCAGAACCTTTTTCCCAATCAATATAATCGGTTGAGTCAAAAAGTCTTTCCATAATCTTATAAGTTTTGTTGTAAATATTAAAAGGGAATCAAACATCATGTCTTTGGACAAAGATTTTGTCCCTTTGTATTCATTGAAGATTTCTCTTATGATCTCTTGTCTCTCCATTTCTTGTAGTACTCCCAACAACTTTGCAGTCCATCTTATCAAATCTGTTTTCTTATTCTGAAATTTATTTTGTGGTCTTAGAGTCCAAGTTTTCTTTTCCTTATCCAGTGTTTTTTTGCAAGTTCTTCTCCATTTGAGTCTCCATCTTTAAATTTCTTTCCATTAGTTTATTTTCAGTTATCAGTTTTACATGATCTCTCTCTTTTTTATTTTCTGGTCATTTATTTGTTGTGACATTAAATTAGAAGTGCCTTCAGTAAAGTTTTCAAATTCATTTTTAATTTCCTTATAGTTTGACATTAATGTCATTTGTAATTGTTGTAGCATATCATACATTTCCTCCTGGAAAGTCTTTATTCCTTCTTGTTATGTTCCTTTTGCAGCCCTCTGATGTTCTATAATGACCAAAAATCCTTTCTCTGCCAATCAGTTTAAAGTCACAATTTAAAAAGTATTTAAAGTCTAGGAAGGTCAATTTTTTTCTAAAGTTTTGTAGTTCTCACTTTGTAGATAATCCACAGTATTTTCTTTTTATTATTATTGCAGCTATTCTTTAATTCTTTGAAGGTCACAATAACGTTTTTTTTCCTGAGCTGTATATTTACAGCAGTATTCATCCAGCACTAGATGTCAGCACCAGTTCATTTTTCAATTTTCAAAACAAATCATTTATCTCTGTCCATTATCTTTTACCAGGAAATTCTTAATAAATTCCATCGATTTCACCTTTTTCAGTTTTAAACCTTATGTTAATTTTATTTCTATAGCTTTATTCCCCTTAAGTTTAATTCACCGTTTCCATTAGAGAAGGGTGGAGCGAAACCTCGCCCCTCTGACTTTTGGAGGATTTTTATTTCTGGGGTTTTCTTCTTTTTTTCCCCCAGGAAATCAGTCAGGTAGAAGAGAGAATCAATATCCTTACCCAGTTCAATCAAACTGTTTACGATCACGCTTAGTTTAGTGCTTTTTGGCTTTGGCTGCATGTAGCTTGGGCTAGCCCACTGTTTCCCAAACTTGACAATTTTAAGGCATGTGGACTTCAACTCCCAGAATTCCACAGCCAGCGTTGCTGGCTGTGGAATTCTGGGAGTTGAAGTCCTCATGCCTTAAAATTGTCAAGTTTGGGAAACACTGGGCTAGATTCACAGAAAACACTAGCCTTTCTTCTGTCGGTTTCTGGAGAGCTTTCCCCAGATGTCCAGATCGACCACCATCTCCCCACGATCCTTGGGGCTTCCCTCCTTCTTTGCCACCTCTCTGGGTTGGCTTTTGGCCCATTTAGAGTCCCCAAACAGAAAGAAATCAGCCGTAGGGCACGGAGCTCGCGATCCCTCGGCTGTTGTGCTAAGCTGCGCAGAACCGGAAGCCCCAGATTCACTTTAGCTTAAATATGGCTTCTGTGATGATAAAATGCAAAGAGAATTCTACAGAATAGAAGCAGCATCATTAAATAAAAGCTAAGCAGTCAACCATATTAATGGCTAGATGGGAGACAACCTGGACATCTACTGTGGGAGTAAGCATCACTACTGGAATTACACACAAACAGCAATATCCATGATAGGATGTACACGAATAGCTGTCAGTTGTTAGTTTAGCACATGATTAATCCAGCTCCATCTTCCTTGTCATAAATATTAGTAACAGTAAAATAAGAGCTCCAGACCTGTGGAAGGATAGTGATTCGAAAGGACTGGCTGGAATTGACATCTCTTAGATAGATCGAGATCTTAGGAAAGAGGGTCCAAGGATTTTCACTTTTATCCCAGCAGGCAAGCTGTGTGCCACTCCAAAACCCAGATGTGAATTCTTGTATCTATAAGGAAAAAAAAAAAAAAAAAAAAGGGGGGGGGGAATCCTGAATTCTGTCCCTGCCTCAATATGTTTAGTGTTCAGCATCTATAAAAGGTCTCTCTATTACCTGACTATCAGTGTCTATTTCAGTTTAACATATGCCATTATCTTAACCGTGGCATTTATTCTCATAAGAAAAAGTAGGACAAATGTTTAAGTTGGTACACTAATTGGGAGCTTTACAAACTTCCACAAGAAGCCTTCAACATGTTGAACTTTTGATCTGGAATTGCTATATGTAGCAAAAGGTGGCTAAACAGTAGATCTGGGCTGTCTGCCATGGAAGATGCCAAAGAATCCCCTTCCTTTTAGACAGGGCACAGCAAAGATATGCCATGCAACTATTTGAACAGTCAGCATTGAACTCAAGAGGAAGTCTGGCTGCTTTTCATGCTCATCAGGGCACATTAAGTGAAACCTGAGACTTGGGGTATTGTAGATATTGTCACTTAGCTTTTAGTTTTCTAGCCTCTTCACTGGAATAGAAAGTGAGACAAGAAATTCCTACTTATTTCTAGGAAACTTGCCATTTAATTGCTTCCTATATCTATAGCAGGCGTAGGCAACAAACCAGCACCTGCATGCAGTGTCTCACTCTCCTTTTGCTGTGCACAAAATATTTCTGGCAATGATGAAACCAACATTTCTAAACTTTTGAGGAATTGGAGCAAAAACAAAAAGAATTTTAAAAAATGCTGGCTTCATTCAATATAGTAACATCATGACATTGTGCCCCCACAGAGCAAAACCATTTTTAAAAGGTGCAGTTCCAGACCATAAGAACACTGCCCACTTCTGATATGCATTGCTTCAGCAATGTCACATTACTTACCTGGTTTTGGTTATTATCCTTGGTCTAGCTAAGGGGCAGGCACAAGAAGTTGAGAGTTCTGACATCCTGACTTCATTGCCATATTTTTGGACGTAGATATATTTCTCAGTATTTATTAATATGATCCACACTTTGAACTTTATACCATGTGTAGATAACCAGTCTTTAAAACAAATAAAGCTATGCCTTAAAAATAAGATTAATACTTATCTTGTTTGGGGTTACCGATAACAAAATAACATTTTATCTGCAAATCTGCTGCATACATGACATTTTCAATACACTGGTGTGGTATAATTTTGATAGTACTGAAATTTAACTTATACATGCCTCCATCAAGTCTCCACCCAAAAAGGAGGAAAAAGAATCTCATTTACCGTAAATGCCGGCGTATAAGGCGACTTCCGCGAGCGCTGAAATTGGCGCCAAAGATGGGGGTCGTCTTATACGCCGAGTCGTCTTATACGCCGGAAATACTGGTAGTTTCTGGCGTATAAGACGACGTTCTAGGAATGTGGCCCGGCTATAAAGACGGGGGTCGTCTTATACGCCGGGTCGCCTTTTACGTTGGCATTTACGGTAGTTCCAATCTTTTGATTGCAGAATAAGCATTGAAAATATTTTCTTTGAGAACTTAACTCAGAAGACAAACTCATAAGCCTTAGCTTACCAAAGAAGTCTGTGTAATGGCTCCCACAACAGCATTAAAGACCTTTTCTGGCAGCCTCAAGAGAGTTGTTCCACTGTCCACAATTGCTTTGTCTGAATTGTACTGAAAGGAGGGGAGAGGGAAAAAAAACACTTATCATAACAATTAGCCAGTCAGTAATAAACTTTTTTGTGGGGGGAGGGTGAATGAAAATACATATTGAAGGACCTGGGCAGTATCAGATCTTCTAAACCTAAAACCTAATTCATACTATGAGGAAATAGGGTCTTTGAAGTATCTTGACTTGAAGAGAGAGTAAGGTTTTCCTTGGCACAACAATGCAAAAGAATCATAAGACTAGCCTTGACCTCTCTTCTAGGGTGTCCCTATAGTATAAATTAACTTAAGAGCATCTTGATGGACCTCATCCTTTAAAGGACCTTCTTACCTGAAAATGAACCTGAAAGAGATGACTATCTAGTCATTTTTACAGCAAAGTAAAGATATTGAATTAATGCTCACAAACAACAATGCATATCAAGTCCATAGCCCCCCCCTTTTTTTAGAACCCCAAGTTCCTCCACTTGGGGGAAGATGTGATGGAATTATGTTTACGGAGCTTGATAATTCTGCTACCTAGTAAAACTCCAGTTGTATTGGTCGTCAATTCCCAACTAGGTCAAATTACGATGAACTGTCAATATCAGAGGAACCAAATAAAACTATCAAGTTGTCAAATATTTTAGAGGTATCCAATATTTTAGAGGTGAGGAACATGGACAATGGTACACTTGATTTGTCACACATTTAAATTTAAGGAAGAGGTGAAATTTCATTATCTGTACAAATCTGCTCCAACACCACTCATTTTCCACTCCTTTCCAATTTCTCCGGCACATTTTCACAACCCCCCATGTGAGAATTCTTTTTTCCCTCTTCCTCTTAACTTTTTGGTTTTTATATACAATTAAAAAGCATGGTGCCTTTGAGCATATAAGTCCTAAAAGTAGGACTTTTTTTTTTTTCAATTCCAATTCTTCTAAGAGCACGCATATTTCTGTCTCCATATTCTATGCTGTCTTTTTTGAGCAGCCCAAATGGAACCATCTATTGTTTATCATTGTCATTAAACTCAAAGGTGGAGAAAATAATATTACACATACTTTTTGGAGAATGCAAAATTTGACCAGAAGAGAATAGCTAAAGAAGGTAAAAGAGAAATAAAAGTAATCAAGAGCCTTAAGACAGTGGTGGGATTCAGCCGGTTTGCACTACTTCGGCAGAACCGATAGCTAATTTTTTGTTGCTCACGCCCAAAATGGACTTCCAGAAGTGGCATGCACACAGAGAACCGGTTGTTCACATAGTTGAATCCCACCACTGCCTTAAGATAATCTAAAGGCTAACATGTTTGTAGTGGGATAAATATGCATAACTGGTATCATTTTATCCGAAATATTGATTACACTAAGATTAGACATGGACCCAAATGTTAATATTTCCCATTCAACTATATTAAAGTATGTGAGGAAGAGAAATTGAAACCAGAAAATGATGAACCTAACACAAACTAAACTAGGTTAAATTAACTTAGTTTGCTTTTGTGCAATTTCCTTTCAATAAACTTGCACTAGAAATAATCCCATTGAATTCTTTACAGACTAAATCTGTGCCGAATTTGTAAACATGCTACACAAGTTTCTATGTTATACAAAGAAACAGGTATAATGCAAGACATGTCCAAAAGCTTTATGAATTCACTTAAAGTTCAGATATGTAGAAATGGTGCTACAGAGCAACTGAAAAGATAGAGTATACCTGAGAAGCAAATATAAGCAATTTGATTTCTTTGTTTATTCATTTACATTTACTGGCTGTCCAACACTAGTGGTCTTTGGGTGGTGTAAAAAACAAATAAACAAATAAGAAGAAAAATAACAGCTCTCAAAAGAAACCAGCTGGCTGCATAAAGAACTCTCTGATAAATTAAAAGACAAAAGGGACAAGTATAAAAGGTAGAAAGAGGGGCACATAACTAAGGCAGAATATCAGCATATAGTCCAAGCCTGCAAAGATGAAGTGAGGAAAGCTAAGGCTCAAAATAAAATAGGGCTTGCGACAAAAGTAAAAAATAACAGCAACAAAAAGCTTCTTTCAACGTGTAAAAAACAAGAAAAAGGTTAAGGAAATGATTGATCCATTAGTGGGAGAAATTGGCAAGAAGGTGACAAGCAACAGGGAGAAAACAGAACTACTTAACTTGTTTTTTGCATCTGCTTTACACAAAGGGAAAAAAACTCCAACCTATCAAAAACAGTACCGTAAAAAACAGATTAGAAGCACAATCTTTGACCAGGGGACAAAATTAGTGGACCACAGAAATGCTGTGGATATAATTTACTTGGACTTCAGTAAGGATTTGATAAAGTAGACCACAACTTACTACTTGATAAGATAGAAAATGTGGTTTAGACAGCATCACCACCAGATGGATTCATAGCTGGCTGACTAGCTGTACTCAGCATGTGGTCCTCAATGGAACTGCATCTACATGGAGGGAAGTGTGTAGTGAGGTGCCCCGGGGCTCTGTTCTAGGCCCAGTGCTCTTCAACATCTTCATCAATGATTTGGATGAGGAGATATATGGGGAACTCATCAGATTTGCAGATGACACCAAGCTGGCAGGAATAGCCAACACTTCAGAAGATAGGCTTAAGATACAGGAGAATCTTGACAGACTTGAACATTGGGCACTATCTAACAAAATGAAATTCAGTGGTGGAAAAAGTAAGGTTCTACATTTAGGCAAGAAAAAACAAATGCACAGATATAGTATAGGTGCTACCTTGCTCAATAGTAGTAACTGTGAGAGGGATCTCGGAGTCCTAGTGAACAATCACTTAAATATGAGCTAGCAGTGTGCTGCAACTGCCAAAAAAGCCAACACAGAGCTAGGCTGCATTAACAAAGGGATAGAATCAAGATCACATGGTGTTAATACCACTTTACAATGCCTTGGTAAGGCCACACTTGGAATACTGCATCCAGTTTTGGTCACCACGATGTAAAAAAGATGTTGGAGACTCTAGAAAGAGAAGAGAGAGAAGAGCAACAAAGATGATCAGGGGACTGGAGGCTAAAACATATAAGGAACAGTTGCTGGAATTTGGTATGTCTAGTTTAATGAAGAGAAGGATGAGGGGTGATATGATAGCAGTGTTCCAATATCTCAGGGGTTGCCACAAAGAAGAGGGAGTCCAGCTATTCTCCAAAGCACCTGAAGGCAGGACAAGAAGCAACAGATGGAAATTAACCAAAGAGAGAAGCAACTTAAAACTAAGGAGAAATTTCCTGACAATTAGAACAATCAGTGGAACAATCTGCCTCCAGAAGTTGTGAATACTCCAACACTAGAGGTTTTTAAGAAAAGACTGGACAGCCATTTGTCTATATAAAGTTTTTTACCTGAGCAGGGGGTCGGACTTGATATTCAACCAAGTTTGGTTAGGCTTGTACAACAGAAATAATAACTCAACAATGAAATAATTCTACAGTAAAATGGTTACTTCTTTTACAAATGACCATTAAAAAACATATTCACACAGTTTGAGGATGGATAATAAGAAAATGATGAGAACCATATAGAAGGACAAGTTCCTTTGTATTCATGTAGCAACACAACTCCATGCCCCTTTCTGTATATACACAAAAGAGAATCTGTGGAGCAGATCCCACACATGTGAAATTTGTCATTAAGTGGAAGGATATTAATTTATAATTTTTACTTATTAAAAATACCTCTTTGCAGTCCAAGTTAAGGTTCTGGCCCCCAACTTCAAATTTCAGTATTTCAACTTGATAATACCATTCTTTCTTAATAGGTGTATACCAAATTTTTCCTTTGTATAAGCTTGGTTCAATCCCACCCAATACCTGAAGAGATTAAAAAAAATTACTTTACCATTTAATCAAATATAATTAAGTTACAAAATATGTCTACAATCTAACAGATGGTTTCAAAATGATTCAGTGACAGTAATAAGTATATAAATACATAAATTCAATATGACATCTGATTTTTCAGTACTGTCAGTCAATCAAAACAGTTTTTAAAAAGTTAATCAGAAATAACTAGGCTTATAAACAAATTACCTTTTACAGAGAGAGGGGGGGGGAGGGAGAGAGAGAGAGAGATGCTTTATCTAGCAACATTAAGAGAGCTGTACAAAGCACTTGAAAAAGGGACATCACAACATGCTTATGTGTGAACAAAGCATTTGAAGCATTAAGGCAATTGCATCATATATATACAGATAGTTCTCAATTTACAAAAGTTTATTTAGTGACTGTTCAAAGTTACAACATCACTGAAAAGTGACTTATAACCATTTTTCACATTTACGACCATTGCAGCATCTCCATAGTCACGTGATCAAAATTCAGATGCGTAGCAACTGACTCACATTTATGATGGCTGTAGTGTCCTGGGATCATGTGATCCTCTTTTGTGACCTTCTGACAATGGATAAACCAGACTCATTTAACAACCATGTGATTAACTTAACAGTTGCAATGTTTCACTTAACAACTGTGGCAAGAAAGGTTGTAAAATGGGGCGAAACTCACTTAAGAAATGTCTCACTAACCAGCATAAATGCTGGGCTCATTTGTAGTCGTAAGTTGAAGGCTACTTGTACATACAATTATATCAAAGGCTCTCTCTGGTTTGAAAAGAGGGGAAGTCTGAAGCAGCCACAGCAAATGTTCTGAGGACACATATTTTTTTAATGTTTTAAGGAGGAGTACTTAGTAAAGCACCTCATGATAATACTTTGAGTTAGCCGAAACAACTTTTCATTTTCAAACCTATGCATTTAAAGTTATGGCTAAGAATCTGGGCTGCATTTTTTTTAAATAAACCATATCAATTTCAAAAATTACTTGGACCCAAGAAGATTCAAATAATCCTTGTGTCACAAATGTTATTAATATAATTTAAATAGTTCCTCCATCTCTGAACAATGAACAGCACATCATTTTCAAACTGTTCATTTCTGTGCATTTGTTATGCTGCTGTAATATATACAATTCTAGTTGATTTCTAATCCGTTAAATACCACAGAGACAATCAACTAAAGATGTAATGCCATGTCTTTAAGAGAATGCCCTATGTGGCAATTGGTATTCCCTACATAGCTGAAGAGGGAAATTTTTCTCTGAAGCTTTCTCAATAGTTGGCATTCCTATGGAAAATGGGGCATTCTACAGATCTGTTCATCAGAGGAAAATGGAGAAGGCAATGAATCTGCTGGGTTTAAAGTCTTCCTATTTTGAAATTTCACAAAGTTCGCACACCTTTTCATTGTTAAGATGAAGCAGTGGGGATGAATTCAGGTAAGTCTGCAGGACAAAGTTCAATGATATTTGTGACTTCTTGCTACATTTATTTGTTCAGCTGACTGTCGATCATGTAAGTGGACAGGTGTCCATCCATGTACAGGCCAGTCATTCTTTTGTTGAATGGGAATTGGGGAAGTTGTAGTCCCAATATGTCAGCAAGTTAAAGAGCTTGCATGGGCGTTTATATTTTTGTGTACCACCACCTAAACATTAATTTTCATTTAAGAAAGTAGTTTACTGAGAGGAAAATCATCACTGGTAGTACAAAATGTCACCACTTTTAAATATTAAATAGCTTTGAACTATGTATTTGTCTTGTGTGATTCTATGAAAGCAAACACCATTGAACTTAACTGGACACATTTTAAAAATAAAATACAAATAGGATTATTGCTACTTCTTTTACAAAACAAATTACATTTAAAACACTGAATTTTAAATAAAAACAAACAAAATGAACAAGAAAAAAATATCTTAACTTTCCTTTAAAAACACCAAAGAGAAATTATGGTTCTCAAGTTTTCAAGATTATTAAAGGAAAAGTACTGGAAGATTGATACAGTAATTCAGTTGTGATTGTCCAGGTTACACTTTGACTTAATACAGGTAGTCCTCGAATTACAATAGTTCATTTAGTAACCATTCAACATTACAACGGCACTGAAAAAAGTGACATGACCGTTTTTCACACTTATGACTATTGCAGCATCCCCATGGTCATGATGGGCTGGATGCCAAAACAAAGCGAGGCTATGGCATACACTTGAAAGGAGATTGGGAAGCCTGTAATTGTGGAGTTGGTCTGGCAAGAACAAAAAATAATTATTCACAGGGAATGTGCACGTGTAAAACTTCTAACAATACAGGGTGGTTAGAAAACTGATAAAAGTAACAAAGAGGCATCTTGTATAGCTCCGCTAAAAGTTAGGAATAGAGATGGCCTGGAGCAAATAGAATGTGTATTAAATCATTTCTGAAGCGTTCATTAGCCAAGGCTTAGGAATAGGGATGGCCAAAGACCAATAGAATAATTGTTAGATCATTACTAAGATGTTTATTAGATGATATTTCTTATCCGGCTTTCTGCATTAGTGGAAATGAATAAAGCTTTCTTAATTCTGTGGTTCAAGATTCCTAGACATTTTGGCCAGGATCATTTTTCTTGGTGCGCTTGAATAAAAGAAAACATGTCTGGTGTTCTCCATCGGCCTCAACACCAGACTCAGACCCAAATTGGGGACAACAGTCACATCTTCAAAATTCAGCCACTTGACAACTGACTCATATTTATTGCAGTGTCCCAGGGTCAACCTTCTGAGAAGCAAAGTCAATGGGGAAGCCAGATTCACTTAGCAACCATGTTACTAACTTAATGACTGCAGTGATTCACTTGACAACTGTGGAAAGGTAGGTGGTAAAATGGGACAAAAGTCACTTAACAATTTTTTCACTTAACAACAGAAATTTGGAACTCAATTGTGGTGTAAGTCAAGGACTACCTGTAGTTTATTAAACAAAAGAAAGCCTAAATTTAACCTTGAATTTTAAAGTTTAGCATATATATTTAGGTCACTGTTAAGCTAATTCCCTGTAAGAAATAATAAAGCAATGTCAACTTAATCATCGATTAGCAGGATTTCGTAAACTGCCCTAGCCATATTGTTTCTAAAGGATATGGGAAAGATGTCAAGTGATTGGATTTAATTGCATTAAATAGTCTAAGAAAATGCATATTTTCCCTAGTATTCAGCCTGACAGATACCCACAAGACTACCTCCATTAGTACCAGTTCCAGAAACAGGCAAACTAGCTCCACACATCTGCAGGGAAAAAACATCAGGGATCTTGGCTTGATTCACAATAGAATCAAAAAAGGTCTCCACAGAACTTGAAGGCTGTAAAAAGAAAAGAAAAGAAAAAAATTTGCAAAACTTCAGCTGTACACAAATTGATGCACCATGAATAAACTGATAGAGAGCAACCCATGCATATTACTTTTGTGGGATAAAAGGAATTTTAACAGTGGATTACAAATTTATTAAATTGAGGTTATTAAAACCTCAAACGTATGCTACACATTAAACATTGAAGGTAATTGCTAGCATCCATTTAAATCCTTTCATCTATTATTTTTGATTGGTGTCATAGCTTTCTTCCTAAAAACTGTGTTTCAAATGTCTAAATTTGTCCTGCTATGCATTGTGTATTATATAAGGGAGGCATGCTTACTTAAATTTGGATAGAGTTCTATTATGGTTATAAATTGTCAATTTTGCCATTGCTGTATATTCTCTAATTTTGGTCTTCCCCTCTAGGTTCTGGCCAGCAGTTCCAGAAATATTTCTAGAGGAAATTATCTAGGTGTTGTGGTGAACTAGGGAAATAAAAAGAGGGGAAGAGGAGAACGTATTATTAGAAAATTTCCCCATACAGTTTTTATTTGTGTTTTATCTTTGCTTAGTAGTTATTTTTTTGTGTATTATTCAATTGCTACTGTGCAATATAGTTAGGGTATTTTTCTCTTTGTACTTCTGTATTTTGATATTAAAATAGCTAAAACTTTAGTACAGTTGGTGCTCACATCCTGACCGCTCATTCGGTGATCATTAAACTTGTAATGGCACTGAGTAAGGAGACTTATGACCACTCCTTGGAGTTCCAGCCCCTGCAGTGATCCCATTGTCATTTGATCACAATTTCAGATGTTCCCTGCTTGCTTCCCACAAATATCGGTGGGAAAGCAGACAGCAAATTTGAAGTCACAGCAGTGTATGCTTTCACACTTAATATCTGCAACCTGGATTGCCAGAACTGACAATGCTAAGTGACACAGTCACTGGAGGTCATTCTTTATGACTGTGTTGCTTAGTGATGGCAGTTCCAGTCTCAACTGTGGTTGCAATTGGAAACTACCTGTACTAGATTTGTGTCAAATGTTATGCCACAATGGATTATGCTTTCTTCCCCTGCCCTTCAGGAGTTGGGAAAGTCCCTTATCACTTCCTGAACTGTTATTCCTTTATACCAATTTTGAATACCAATAGTCCTCTATGTGGTTGGATTAAATAGAGACCTCCATAACATTCAATGCATCACTTGTACCCAAATTATATTTAACAATTGGTGACTGACTGTAGGCAATAAGCTGATTTAGGTCAGCTTTCTATGTTCACAGTGATCTTAGCAGATGCATTTGGAAGCTCATAAGCTTAGATGGGGGATGTCTCCCTATGTTACACTCTCAATGAATTCGGAGGTAATAAACAACCATCAATTTTAGTATCAAATGGTAGTAGTAGTAACCATCCATGACCATATCCAGTCTTTTTTAAAACCATCTAAATTAAATGCCTGGTTTTTAATAAGCTGGAACAAATTTCACAGTTTAATAGTATAAAAAGAATTTCCTTTTCCATATAATTATTCATGCATTTAGTTTCAACTATCAAAATTAAGTGAGACAGAGGGTGGGAAAAAAACACTTCCTGTCCATATTGTCTGGGCCAGGCACAATTTTATATACCTCTATCATGCTCATCCAACAATAAAGAACTCAAATGTGGTACTCTTTTTTCTTTTCTTTTTTTTTTTGCAGGGGAGAAGCAAAGGTGTCCTAATCATTTGGCTTTTCTTTTTTCCCACCTTTTCTAGCATTATAATATCCTTTAAGGGTGGGTGGTGAGAACTTACACATGTGGACTCATCTAGTTTCCTTTAATTTATTTCCATTAGATTTAAATATAAATAATATGATTACTTCCCCATGCATTTAGTAATTTGGGGATAAATTTTGCAGGATGGGAACACCTGTGGCCTTGGAACTGCAGGTTCACTTCTCCCTCCTAAGAATGAATATAAATGATAAAATGATTTTAATGATAAAAATATTTATCATTATTGAATAAGCATGTTGCTGACTTCAAAATGCTAAGTAGGGATAACCTGGGTGGGTAGTCTTGGATGTGAAATCATGCAGGAATACTAGCAATGTAGATTAGGATACAAATTTGTAAAATCATAGAAGAAGCTTTGAAATTTTCATTTGTATACAATACCGGCCTTAATTTTCCTATAAAGAAACTGATGAATAAGAAATATAGTTTACCTTAGCCAATGTACTGTATGCCAAACCAAGGATCCCTTGCCACTGAACGCCTTTTAAAAAGAAATTTTCAGATTGAAAAATGGTAGCAATGTTGATGATATAAGTACCATTTATTCCTTTAGGCATTCTAACAACATCTGTTCCAAGAATTCCAATCCAACTTCCCTGAGTATATTTAACAGCCACCTCAAAGTTGAGTGATTTATATGTGGTGGACCTAAGGAAAGAAACAAAAAGTTATAGACCAAGTAATTCCATATTCTGTGATAAAAGCATCATATACACAGTTCACCATTCTCAAGAATAGTAATTATATCTATTATGTAAACTCAGCAAAGCCCCACCAACCAAACAGTACAACCAACCAAGCAGGATGTAGCACAACCACCATTTTCCAGATACCACATCAGTCAGGCAAATTCTTCCTCTCCATATATGTGAAGGGTCAGATGAAAGAATGCACGTGCGGATGAGGCCCCGGGGATCAGAAGAAGGGTCATATGTGGAGATAGGACTCAGGTGTGGTTGTGATGGACAAGAGAGTGAGGAAGATGAATTCTGAGAAGAAACATTTACTCTTAAACAACTTTTTCTTTAACAGCTTTTTTTCCTTTCTGCTCACTGAGGGTTTTGCAGACAAGCTTGCTAACAGTTGACATGTTAGGGGGGCTGGGGGTGCAGGGACAATGAAGCAAGACAGATTCATAGGTTCAACCACTTAGCCAGGATGTTGGGTACATGAATAGCTCGCTTATAAGAAAACCCAAAACCATATAGCTGGCACAGGAAACTAGAAGCTTTGCAATATTCCCGTGAATTAAGGTGGGCAAAGATGGCGTGACATTTAGCTATTTTGCATAGCAAGCGAGAAAGCTTTAGGAGGCTGCAATCCAGGTATTCCAGGTAACCAATCAATATCATATGTTATGCATGTATTATCAGGGGCAGGGAAAGGGGATGTGTTGGGTGGGCAGAGGGGTATATGAAAATCACCTTTGACTATAAAAACTGCTGTAAAACTGTAAATGATGCCTTGGTAGCTTTCAAAGCCGAGGTCACTTTCATCTTGGTACCAAATAAAAGTCTTTTTGTTTTCCACATCTTGGGTTTGGTGAACAATTGGCTTCAACACCAAGCTAAGACCCAGTTTTGGGAACAACATATCCTTGCATAGATTTCAGTCTTTTAATTTATATGCAATGAATTTGTTCTACCGTGTGAAACTGGGGCTAAGAACGTCCTATTACAAAGGGCTACACCCCCTTTCTTTTTAAATCTTCCTTTTTGCTGTGAAAATATTGTGCACAAATACCATTTTTGTACAATGTTAGGTGTCATTTACATTCCATCACAATTAAGCTTGTCCTGTTACTAGATGCTTTGCAGTATCTGAATATGACATAAATTCATGCAACTATTTCATCTTAAGACAACATGACCTTTAACTGCATTAGTAATGTACTTTTTACAGCAATCTTAACCTTGAAGTCTTCATTCACTATTTCAATAATTTATTTATTAAATTTATTTATTTATTTTTTATGCCACCCATCTCACTGATACAGTGACTCTGGGCAGCTTACAGCGGGATACAATATGATAATATTGCTTCATTGCATATACAGCATATACACATTTGATACAAGCACGTATCCATGTGTGGCACTGCAGTCAGTCACAGGTACCATAGAAAAAAGGAAGAATGCCATTGCATATTTACAGAATATAACTGTGGCATAGCTTCTTGTGAAGAAATATTGCCCTGATTCCAAGGAGGAAGGGAGTGCATTGCAGAGGAGCAAGAAACACTACAATTTGGATAGTTGGTGTAGGAGAAAAAGGGTAAAGATGGCTCCTCTCTAATAGTTCCCAGAATATTTGTTTTACAGTGCAAGTAATCTCCTTAGCAAGTTTTCTATTTATAGGTGAGGAACAATAGGGGAAACTGCTGAGAGAATCACAGTGTGTCTTTCTTGGCTTTAGGAATCTGACATTTCTCAAACAGTACTAGGATGGACTAAGGATTGTTCTTTTCATCTTTAGAAAACTCATTTGCTAAAGAGAGGAAATTGCTGTGCTGGAGGGAATCATATCATGTGTATCAATTAAATAATTCTAATACGGATACACAATCAAAAGTATGCCAGAACACTTAAATAAACATCCTATTCAATGCTTTGTAAAGAAAAAACTTCCATTTACCTTTGCTATTTTTTTCTCTAACATTTAATACAAACTTCAATTCAATGTTCTAAAGCAGGGGTCCCCAACCCCCAATCTGATGGACCGGCACCGATCCGCAGCATGCATAAACAAGCAAAGGCCCATCCGCAGGATGCAGGCAGCATGCAAAACCATACTCCCTGCAGTCTTCAGCAAAAACCTTTCTCCATGGAACACATCCCTGGTGCCCAAAAGGATGGGGGCCACTGTCCTAAGGAATGGGAAATAGGGATCAAAACTCTTACTTTTTTGTGTCGAAGTATGAGGTCAGATCTGTATTTGGTACACCTGAAACTGCAAAATTGCTGCTTCCCGTGTCAACTAGAATATTTAGCTGTTGAAAAGAAAAGAAAGTTATTTTTGTATTATATTCAGAGAAATTGATTTTTTTAAAAGCTTGTGACCTAAGTGTGAAATGCAATTTAAAAATCATTACTTCTTCAACTTTTCACCTTCTGGAGGGTTTGGGGTTTGGGTGGTTCTTGGCTAATGGAAATATATTTAGATCTTTAAATTTTGAAGTTATACTAGACCACCCTGTGACCTGTTAGGCCACTGTTTGAGAAAAAGGAAGCACAATCTGATTGGATCAGAATGAATATTAAATTTTAGGCTGACCGGATTTTCTTTTACCTCTATGTTGGACAGTTCCATGATCTTCTGAAAAGAATATATATCATAATCAGAAAAATAACTGTAGTAGCAAGTGCACTACAATAATCAACATTTACTTACTAAACCTAAATATATAAATAGAATGACCGTGGGTGGGGGGAAAAAGCCGTAGGAGTGAGAGCCACCTCCTGTTGGCATCCTCATTGACTTTGCTAGGGTAAAGCTGGCAGGGAACATCAGAAGTCATGATTACATGACTATGGGGATGTTGCAACAGCCATCTTTGCAAAAACAAAAAACCCCAAAACTGGTCTGAACTGTTTTGTGGAAATTTAAATTCAACAGGAGTAAGAGGACCTAGATTTTTAGGCATTTTTTAAAAGTTAGTTGATTTTACTGTAGGTACTTTGATTCAAAAACTATTGCAGTACAATAATTTGACGGTACAAAGAGACAAACACAATGAGAGTTTTAGTAGTATATAGATTTTATCTGGATAGCAAAATTGTGTTGCACCTTCTAAAAGCCAAAATGCCATATTGCTGAGAAATGAATAGGGGAAAGACCAAGAAACAGAGGGTGAATCAGAAGTATTAGGGGGTAGAAATTTATCATTCTTTCATATTGTATGGATAGCACTAAAGCAAGAAATTTGTGGGAAAAGTATAGATTAATAGCAGCAGAAAGAGTAGAATAATAAGGATGGAATGTGAAGAAAGTAATAGAATTGAGAATACAGATTTGGTATTCTGATCTGAAAATTTTTTTTTTTTTTAAAAAAAAAAGAATATTTAGCAATCTGGATAACACATTTTGTCCTCCATTTTAATACGAGTAAACATCCTTTAAACCATTTAGTTCAGCAAGCCATATGTTTATAGTTATTGCTACATGGTTGCTATGTTTCAGCAAGAAACTGCATACTATAGACTAGCCATACAGCATGTTACCTTTACTTGCAGGTATATTGCTTGACTAAAAACCATGATGGGGATTATTTCTTTTCCCCTACCTTGAACTATTAATAATCAGAAAATAATTTTACATAGAATTATGCCTGGCCATATGTATAAAGCCACATTTATAACTAACTGAAACCTAGAACTTTAAACTTATAAGAAATAAATAATATTTTAGGAATAGGAATAAATACTCAGAACAGTTAAGGAAATGTCTGTAATATTTCAAAACTATAATTTACTATTGGGCTATAGAGATTACTAGTAGAGAAGCACAATGGAGAAATTTGGACATATTCAGAGAAAATCTACAAAGCTTAGAGTAGTAGCACTTCACTGCAAGTACTACAAGACATAATAAAGCATTTGAAAATTATTAGTTCCATATAATGGTTGGGTGAAATTGTTATTTGACAAAGCCCATCACCACACAATACCTAATTAAAACAGTGTTTCAGTTAAACATTAGTATCAAAAAAACACCAGTAAATATTACCATTAAGGAAGATCTTTTAATAGTTTAAATCTTGTTGAGTCTGTTGAAGAAATACTTTTTCCACAAATAAAAATATCATCTACAATTAAGTTTAGTCAAACATGAAATCAGCAAACCCACTTCAGGGTTTGACCAGAATTCAAGGATTACTATCCAGATTAACATTCCACATCTAAGTGAAACTAGCATAAACATAAAACACAAGAGAATGGTCAGTGATTAAAAGGTAAAAATTACTGATTTTGGAATGCCAGTTCATATCATTAATAATATTAACAAGATTTGTATAGTCTGAATCAAAAATCGGTGACAGCCTTCCAGTTGTGTGATCCAGCTGTGCTGGGACAATTAACCCTACATTCTCAGCTGAAGTCATGCTATCTAGGAATTCTGGGAATCAAAGTCCTAAGGTGTTTGTTAAGTTGGGGAAGGGAACAAAATCATTTAATCAGAAGTGCCAAAGAAGGATTGTCTGGTTGTTCCTCTATACCAGGGGTAGGCAACTTTGACTCTTTTATGACTCGTGGACTTCAACTCCCAAAATTTCTGAGCCAGCATGGAAGAGCCAAGGTTGCCTACCCCTGCTCTATACTGAAATCTTTCCCTGCAAAGGAAACTATCATTGTTGTCATCAGCCATTCATTCATGCCTGACCCTCGGCCACTCTATGGATCAGCATTCTCCATGCCCGTCTGTCCTGCACTGCCCCCTTCAGATCCGCCATGATCCTCCCGGGATCATCTTTTATAGTGTTAAAGGAAACTATGTAGGTTGATAAATTTCTGCATGTTATTTTTCTAAAGGAACAGGCAGATATCATTCTAACAAATCACATTTTCCTTTCTTCAAAGATTTCAATAAAAGCAGTAATACTACCTAAATCAGGATTTGCCAAAATGGTCAATATGAACAACAAAAAGTCAATGGGTCTATCTAAGGCAGGAGTGGGGAATCTTGGCCCTTTTATGACTTGTGGACTTTGACTCCCCTTTAACTAAAGAGCTTGGGGCCTCGACCTAAATAGTCATTAAATATTATGATAAACTGCATTTCTATCTGACTTCTTTAGTGGATGTAAGAATTTTACACCAAGTAGTTTGAATCAAATGCAAAAGATAATGATGATGATGATGATGGAAGGGACCTTGGAAGTCATCTAGTCCAACCACCTGCTCAGGCAGAAAATCCCTATACCATTTCAGACAAATGGCTGTACGGTCTCTTCTTAAAAACTCCCAGTGCTGGAGCATTCACCACTTTGGGGTGACTTTTGCCATTATATGGAATGTTGTTTCTATTGGCATTCTGTTTTAAAGCCATCTAAGTAAAGCCCCCCCCCCTTCAGTAAGCAATAGTAATTCTACAAAACTAATTAAGCAGCAGGAGGAAAGGAATTTTTATATAAGGAAATGTCAGCCAGACTGAACTTTGTATCCTGCATGCTGATTTTCTGGTGGCTGAAGAACAGGATTCTTAATATTCTATAGTTAATAATCAGCTGTTGCTGTGAATTAGTCTACTACGGTAATTTTTGCAAAAGTGGGGGGGGGGAGAAAGCTGGTTAATAGGTGGGAAAATTAGAAGCCAATTTAAATACTGCCTCATTTAACACAACAATCTCTAATTACATCATTAACCATTCTGGAACAGCCACTTCCAACCAAAACAGAAGATAAAGCACTCAAACTGCTACAATGTATGCCATTAGCCCAATGCTACTATGTGTTATTGCTCACTTTGAATTTGTAAATATGATTTTTTTTTCCTCCAGTTCATAATACTCATATTGGTCTTTGGAGGAACACAGAATTAGTAAATGCAATTTATTTGCTGAAGTTTTAATGCAAAATTGTTATGCTGAAACCCAGAGATGAAACAGTGAGATCCAATCGAGTTCAATCCTTCATTGCTTATACCTAATGGACAGAGACTTTTATCTAGTAGGTAAGAAAGCTGTAACTTTCTTACTTACTAGATAAATCCTGAGAGGTTCTAAGTAGGATGTGGCTGCCCTGAATCTCTTCTCTTCCCCCCCCCCCAACTATGCAGTCTTTTAATCCAGGCCTTTTTATGGGAAAGCTCTTTGTTGCCAAAAGTTTTCTCCTTTGCTCCTCCTCCTTCTATGTCAAGCTATGAGCAAAATGAGTGGGAATCCCATTTTTAGAAAGCAATCCAGTTTTTGTTTGAACTTCTGAATTCATATCTTGTTTCAAGAGAACTAAGATCCAGAAATACAGGTTAAATTATTTTTAGACAATTTTAGACAGGAGCTAAGAAATAAAAGAATGCAACTGAGGATGGTATTTCTTCATTAAAGTTTATATTTTTTTTAAAAAAAGAACAAGTTGGTTTTATAGAACAGCACAGAATTTTTTCACTGCATTTCGGACATTATATTAAACTGCAAAACACATTTATTTATTTGATTTGATTTGAGAAACAATAAAGGGAAACCCCAAAATCAAGAAAGTTGTCTTGATTGGGCACATTTCAGCAGCAGCCTGCTTTTCCTGTTAAACCAGAGATATTTCACAACAGTTTTGTTCAGATAACTTCTGTGTAGCCATGATAGCTACATGACTGTATGACATAGAGCCACTTCGATGTAGTGGTCAAGGCATCAGGCTAGAAACTGGGAGACAGCCAGCTAGGTGACCTTGGGCCAGTCACTTTCTCTCAGCTCTAGGAAGGAGACAGTGGGAAACCACTTCTGGAAAAAAAAACTTTCTGAAAAAAATTGCCAAGGAAACCGCAGAAACTTGTCCAGGCAGTCTCTCAGAATTTAAAACCTGAAGGAAAAAAAAGGCATCATGGGCTTTTCAAGTCATCTTAGAGCCCCAGTCAATCAGCAGACATTGAAGGAAGTGAACAACAATATTGACTTTCCATTTAGAGTGCCAGATAATAGGCTGATTAAAGAGCAAGGCTCACTCAGATTCTGGTTCAACTGGTTGCAGTCTCGTGTCTATGGAGATTCTCAGTTATCCAGCACATAGTTGTCCCAAAAGTGCTTTTTCAAGAGGCAAGTGGACTTTTTCTTTGAAGATGTTTCCATTCCTCACCATCCAGTCAGAGCTCAAGAAGCTTCTTGGATGAGAAGCGAAACATCTTCAAAGAAAAACAAGAATGTCCAGTTGCCTCTTGAAAAAGTACCTTTGGGATGGTTGCAGTCGCTACTCACATGTACTTAAAAGGAGTAGTTCATTATTTTAAGAGCTGTATTTCACATACAGCATTGCTTCTATGATTTATGGAGAGGCCAAA